GTGTTATAAATTCTATTCATAGGTATATAATAATGATTAAGAGTTCCTGGTTTCAGGAACTAAATTTAATTATTAGCTGTATAACAATGGTCAAGAGTTGCTGATGTGAGTGTTATTACTTCCAAGATTAGGTGTATGACAATGATCTAGAGATTCAGGTGTGAGAGTTAAAACGTCTAAGATTAGGTGTATGACAATGATCTAGAGATTCTGGTGTGAATTAAAACGTCCAAGATTAGGTGTATGACAATGATCTAGAGATTCGGGTGTGAGTTAAAACGTCTAAGATTAGGTGTATGACAATGATCTAGCGATTCTGGTGTGATAGTTAAAACGTCTAAGATTAGGTGTATGACAATGATCTAGAGATTCTGGTGTGAGAGTTAAAACGTCTAAGATTAGGTGTATGACAATGATCTAGAGATTCTGGTGTGAGAGTTAAAACATCCAAGATTAGGTGTATGACAATGATCTAGAGATTCTGGTGTGAGTTAAAACGTCCAAGATTAGGTGTATGACAATGATCTAGAGATTCTGGTGTGAGAGTTAAAACGTCCAAGATTAGGTGTGGGACAATGATATATGTTTGGTAGTGTGTCAGACGTGTGACAGCGATTAAGAATTGTTAACTTGAATTTTATAACTGTCAAGTCGGGTGTATAAAACAGATAAAGAATTATTGTTTTTTGTTCTTGTATGAAGGTTATCTTTTTTATGTAATATTGTGTGTATATCTATCTATGTATAAATATATGTGTATAGTTTCTTTATGTTTGAATCTTTAATGTTGCCTTTTTGGTACGTTAATTGAACCTTTTCTTCACGTACTGTGAATCACGAAAGTATTAGTGCAATACAGTTGTTATTTTAATAGTTTTTTTGCAACAACATTACAACAGGGTTATCTCCAAGAAGTTCAAGAAGAAAACCATAAAGCTAGTGACATGGAAGATTTGACGAAGTGTGTTTACATCAGCTTGTATCTTGTTCTTCAATAGGGACAAAAACGTAGAATAATAAAACTACAACATCGAATGACAGAGGTATGATTTTTGATGACAACGTTGATTCCCGGGTTTTGTTGGAAGCCGTCAGAACTCTAACTGTAAGATGATATTCGTGTGAGCAACACACGTTTGTTTTTCTCTAGGCCAGTAATAGTGTTTGATTTGGTATTCTTAAAACCAATATTATTGGTCTTAAAGGTTGGCTGGGGCAAAAAAATCAATATCGACTAATGCCAAAAATGAGATTAAAAACTGAATGGTCACTAAAGTCGAACGTTTGTATTTATTTACGAAATAATCTATCAGTTACAAAAGATGTAATACTTTTGAATTATTCTTGGACTTTGTAATACGTTGGAAATGGTATTATTTCTTACAATGACAATTTTTTTACTATACATTGCTTTTTGTAAAGAAATCGTTGGATTTGTTTAATTCTATTAATATTTTTTTTATTCGTGCTATTTCTTTTCACGTAAACTCAAATTACAGTTTCGTCATTTTATATATATTATCGGCTTACAGACTTTGTCAGTTCAACAATATTCTGTGCACTGAAACAACACCCTTTATAGAACAAGTAACACAACACAACTATTGTTAAATTCACACCTTCATGCTTTTATTTCATGCAAATATATCTTAGGTATGTTTGTACCTCTGGAAGTATATTTTAATTTCCAAGAAAGCATGTTTCTGAAACATTGCGCAAAAACAAATTAATGAAGAACGAACGGTGCTTTTGTGTAAATTTAATTTGAAACTAGTATTTATAAAAGAAATACTATACCAGATCTTTATCATGGGCGAGCACTGAACTACAGTGAACCCTGGCGGTAGATTCTCCACCACAGTAATATTGTAGGTGTCATATTCAAAGACAGGAATGTTGTCGTTGACGTCCAAAACAAACACCCTTACTTTGGCTAAAGCCTGGTGAGCAGGATTGTCTCTTTGAACAGCCTAAAATGAATAAAAGATTGGAAACTGTTAGTCATAAAGTAATATCACGTGACCTATTCAAAAACTCAGTCTAGGAAAACAAAACGAACTTATAATTACATCTTTAGCTAATCAGCCAGATTAGAGACCCTCATGGTTCAGTGAAGACAACCTGTCTATAGTAACCGCCACCTGAAGCATCAACCCTTAACGGAATAGCAAAATTGACTGTCTTCTGGTAACACGTCCATAGATGCAAGTACGAAGCATGTTTGGTAGCACTACGTCTCGAACTTGAGATATTTAGATTCTCAGTCCAATACTCTAAACACTAAGGTCATGTCCGGACCAAAATATATCCAAAAGTCTTTGTAAAAAGTAACAGTAAATATGGGAGCTGTGATAACTTTAACATTTTACGTGCGTTACTTGAGAGATAAGAGTAAGTAAAATCCAAAACTTTATGTTCTATTGGGTTCACAATACCCTCTTTCCGTAAATATCAAGAATATCTTTTAGAAAATTAGTTACAAGTTTTTGACAATCTATTAGTTTTGCTTAAAAATTACTTAGCAATCATCTTAGATTTTTTTCGGCATTGTAACAGAATTCTGCAAAAAAAATATAAATAAGTGCATATAACTCTATATATACATGTTCTAAACTCAAAACTTTTGTGTTGTTATTTAGCGCAAAGACTGTTTATATTCGCGTACAATTGCGTCTCACACATTATACAATGCTCTACCTGTTTCTCAGTAGGATTGAACCCGGATGTGGTTCTGAAGGTACATAGTTCTTGTTAGTTACCGCAGTAACC